AGGGAATTTGAGTTTAAAGTTGGATTTCTTTAGGCTCTCAAACATAAGGATTAAAGTCTAGATCCTACAAGCTGTTCACTGCAAAGTCCCATTTACTTTTTGAAGTGAAGTGACAGAAATGAACTCGTGTAGTTTAACTGTTTTTAATAGTTTATTGCAATGCACTCATTTTAAAAGCTGTAGTGTATTTTAATTTTGCTTTTTTCAGGGACATTCTCTATCCTCACGGGTGTTTTTGGAAATGGCAAACCTTTCACAACAATTAATTTTTAAAGACAGCCACTGTATTTGCACCAAAATAAAGTTTGTATGTAATCTAAATCAAGAGTGTCAACATGTGCCAGATCTGGCCTGCAAAGCCAGGTTACCTGGCCCACGAGGCTCTTGGAGTGGATGGGAATTTAAGGGTGGCACAAGCAGAAGCAGGGCCTGCTGCCAAAATTAGGATTCGGAACCCCACTGGGAACATGCTCTAGCAGTGAGGGGCAAAGCAACAGCTGTGTCAAAGTTTTCTAGTGCTATAGGTGGGTCTAGGTACTTCCCAAGGCAGGGTGTAAACACATTTGCAAACAATTTTAGTTTCAAAATCCTGTGGGATGAAGGTTAATTTGTGTGTGTCTGTCAGAAAAAACAAAAAGGTTTGGGTATAGTATCCACAGTTTCATAGTTTCATAGTTTTAGGGTCGGAAGGGACCTAATAGATCTTCTAGCCCGACCCCCCGCCAGGGCGGGAGAACAACCCAAAAACACAAACAAAACCACTCACCCTAAAAACAAAAACGGGACTCAAATGAGTCCAGCCAGGTAAGTATCCAGCCTCTTCTTAAAGATCCCCAGGGTAGGGGCCAGCACCACCTCCCTTGGAAGTTGGTTCCAGCTCCTAGCCGCCCTGACTGTGAAGTAGTTTTTTCGGATGTCCAATCTGTACCTCCTCTCCATCAACTTGTGCCCATTATTCCTTGTTATGCCAGCAGGGGCTAGGGGAAACAGCGTCTCCCCCAAACCCTTCTGGTTCCCCCTAGTGAGTTTATAGACGGTCACCAGGTCCCCCCTCAGCCTTCTCTTGTGGAGGCTGAATAGGTTCAAGTCCCGCAGTCTCTCACTGTAGGGTCTGCCCTGTTGTCCCCGGATCATGCGGGTGGCCCTCCTCTGGACCCTCTCCATGTTGTCCACATCCCTCCTGAAATGGGGCGCACAGAACTGGACACAATACTCCAGCTGCGGCCTGACCAGCGTCGCATAGAGGGGGAGGATCACCTCCCTGGCTCTACTCGAGATGCACCTGTGGATGCACGACAAGGTCCGGTTAGCCCTGCCAACCATGACCTCGCATTGTCGGCCCATGTTCATCTTGGAGTCAATAATGACACCAAGATCCCTTTCCGCCTCCGTGCTCTCAAGTAGGGAGCTCCCCATCTTATAAGTGTGCTGCTGGTTCCTACTACCCAAGTGCAGCACCCTGCACTTGTCCGTATTGAAACGCATCCTGTTCCTGTCTGCCCACCCCTGTAACCTATCCAGATCCTTCTGCAATCTCTCTCTCCCTGCTAGCGTGCTCACCTCCCCCCAAATTTTGGTGTCATCAGCGAATTTAAACAGGTTGCTCTCCACCCCAACATCAAGATCGCTGATGAAGACATTGAACAGCGCAGGGCCCAGGACCGAGCCCTGAGGGACTCCACTACCCACCTCCCCCCAAGTCGAATATGATCCATCCACCACCACCCTCTGAGTGCGACCCTTCAGCCAATCTGCAATCCATCTGACCGTGTAGGCATCTATGCCACAGTCGCCTAGTTTACTAATTAGGATGGGGTGAGAGACGGTGTCAAAGGCCTTGCTGAAGTCCAGAAAGACTACATCCACCGCGACACCTGCATCCATGGCCTTTGTGACCTGATCATAAAAGGCAATCAGGTTGGTCTGACATGATCTCCCCCTAATAAATCCATGCTGATTGCCCCTGAGCATCATCTCGGATGCCGGCCCATCACAAATGTGCTCCTTGATGATCTTCTCAAAGAGCTTCCCCAGGATTGAGGTAAGACTGACGGGCCTATAATTGCCCGGGTCCTCCCTTTTCCCTTTTTTGAAGATGGGGACCACATTAGCTACCTTCCAATCGTCTGGCACCTGGCCCAAGCACCACGATCGCTCGTAGAGCCGTGCCAGGGGCCCTGCAATAACCCCAGCCAGCTCCCTCAGCACCCTGGGGTGGAGAGCATCCGGACCCGCTGACTTGAACGCGTCCAGCCCCTCCAGAAGCTCTCTAACCCGGTCCTCCCCAACCTGAGGTCTGAAGGCGATCCCCTCGCGTCCGGCTTCTATCACAGCAGGGAAGTCCCGGTCCCTGCACAAGAAAACGGAGGTGAAGAATTGGTTAAAGAGGTCCGCTTTATCCTCTGACGCAACCACCAGATTGCCCCGCATATCCTGCAGGGGCCCCACATTACCCGGCGCCTTCTTCATCCTCCCAATATATTTGAAAAAGGACTTTTTGTTATCCTTAATCCTGGACGCTAATCCGAGCTCTATCTCCGCCTTGGCCTTCCTAACAGCCCGCCTGCAGGCCCGAGCAGAGGAGGTATACTCCTCTTTGGAGATTACACCCCCCTTCCACCGGGCGTACGCCACCCTTTTGGCAAGCAGGCATTCCCGGACACCCTTGGTGAGCCAGGGGGGCTTTTGGACACTCCTGCCCGCCTTGCTTCTTGTCGGGATGGACACCCCTTGGGCCCCGAGTATCGTTTCCTTAAGGAACGACCACTCCTCTTGGACGCTGAGTTCCTCTGCCCTCAAGGACCCCAGTTCCTCTCCCACTAATCTCCTCATCTCACTGAAGTTGGCCCTCCTGAAGTCTAGGGCCACCACCTTGCTGCGGGCCCTTGACACTCTACGCTGGATGGTGAATTCCAGCACGCGATGATCACTATTGCCCAGGTGGTCAAGAACCTGGAGGCCTCTTACCAGGTCGTCGCCTGTGGCCAGGACCAGGTCCAGCAGGGCATCGCCTCTGGTGGGACTGTGCACCTCCTGAATCAAGTGGAGGTCCTGCAACTCGGCCAAGAACCTCCTGGAGCGGTCCGTCCCGGCTGACTGCTCCTCCTAGCAGATGTCCGGGTAATTAAAATCGCCCATGACAACTACATCCCTTGCTTTTAGTGTCTCCGCAAGCTGGCCTGAAAATTCCCTGTCCAGCTCCTCCTCTTGATTGGGGGGTCTGTAATAGACCCCCACCGTCAAATCCCTCTCGCCTTGCCCCCCCTGGATCTTGACCCAAAGCACTTCAGCTTGCCCTTCCCCTGACCCCATTCTGCTGGCAGAGGATGTGTAGTGCTCCTTGACATAGAGTGCCACCCCCCCCCTTTTCTGCCTTCTCTATCCCTGTATTTTAATACAGTAAAATATTTAAATTGGTTTCAAGCAATTCAATTAATATTCCTAGGTATCCATTTTGTTTTAAAGTAAGCTAAGTCCTAGCTGAGGGTGTCTGATTCAAAATATTCATGACTAAGAAAATTTTCTCTTTTTTTTTTTCCAGTTTTTTGGACCATACACAAACAACACGCTTTTTGAAACGGATGAACGTTACCGTCACTTAGGATTTTGTGTTGATGATCTTGGTTGCTGCAAAGTTATTCGACATAATCTCTGGGGCACACATGTGGTTGTAGGAAGCATTTTCACTAATGCTGACCCTGACAGTTCAGTCGTGAAGAAATTAAGTGGAAACTAGGGACCTTTTACCTACTCAAATTTGACATCTGAATTGTTTTACTCGATGATTTGTCTATAAATGCTGTCAGCCAATACCAAACTTTAAAGTGTGTGCTCACTTGAATAATAAATAACTGTTATTTATTTTAGTCTGTGTGTAAACACCTCCTTGATGTTCAATATTATTTGACATCTTATTTGGTAGGTACACAGATGTGCCATGTGACTCTTTTATAAAAGCTGTGTGTCACCCTTGTATAGATCAACATAACATCAAACATAGTTTAGCCACATTTGACCTAAAAATATTATCATTTGCCACATTTTATTCAAGTCTGTTACCTTTACTATGTGTCTGAACAAATGTAAGCTTCTTGGTGAAATCCTGACATCACAGAAACCTGTAGGAATTTTGATCCTAATTGGGCCAGGATTTCACCTGCTCCAATTACAAAAGATTGTATAACTTGTGGCTGAGAGTGTTGGAGTGAAGATGAACCAGGTTCACTGGTCTGAAATTTGAATAGTGTTAAGTTGAATCTTCGATTATCTTTTAAGGGCAACGCTGGTGTTCAGTTAATTTTATGATTGAAGCTCTCTGAATTTGCTAGTCGATAAGAAATCTTAATTCCTACCAAAATAGGTCCTGTCTTAATTTCTTTTTTTGTTTGTTTGTTTGTTTCCATATTGTCTTAAATCCTATTTTATTTCTCATTGTAAAAGGCTAAATGTAGTTAGTAGGTGTTCATAATTTGCATTTCATTAGTATGTCTTTTGTAATGTACATGGTGCTTAAGAACTGATAATTAGTCACACTATCAAAAAGAGCACAGAGGCTACTAGGACAATTTCTGGATTTTTCTACCATTTTTTTCATTCTACTGCCTTATATATATAGTTTAGAGGAGATATCCATTATAACATTTTGAAATCCTTGAAGGGGAAGCCTGGCATGTGACAGGCATAGTTGACCCTGTAGCAAAAACTGTTCAGGCAGCACAAGAACTGTAGAAGTTAATAGTTGTTCCAGAGATCACTAGAGGACTCGGTATCTAAAATACGTAAACTATCAACTGCAGATTACCTGATCTCTCCTTTATTCTGCATATCAACTTACCTCATTGCTGCTGTCAAAATCTAGTAGCAAACTGAAACTACGTTATGTTTGCATTTGTTGAAACTACCTATTGATACTCATTGCCATGGTTATTCCAGTTCACACAACTGTGGGACTGAAACATTAGTCCAGTCCTGATGCAGTTGAAACCTAGTTAGTGTGAAACCCAGGTGGTGACTGACTGAGTTGACACTCTAAAAGGTTTCTCTTCAGTTCTCTTGGTTAGCTGAATACTTTACCCTTGAAACAATATTCAGAATGGTTAACACCGGAAAGAGGACACTGGAGTTTTCTGGCTTTCTTGTACTATTTATCATTTTTACTCAGGACCTAATCCAGTCCTCAGTGAAGTCTGTAGAAGCCTTTCTGTTGGCTTCAGTGGACTTTGAGGTGCTTGTAGCTCACCAGGTCATGAAAATGAAAAGAAAATGAACATCTCTGTTCTGCAATGCAGCTCTTGATAGGCTGTCTCCAGGCATTCTTCCTGCAATCCAAGAAATGCCATATGTAATCGCAAAACTTGCCCTTGCATTCCCGGACTTAATCCTTGTTACTAATGCTTGCAATACTAGTAATTGTTTTTCCTGCTTGCAGAACCAACTGCATTTTTGCATAGTAAACAAGAAATTCTTGCTAGACCTAGCTTAATAGTCACTACCAAAATGAGGCTTGATCTTGCAATACGACTTTCAGTTACGTTGCTATGGAGATTTTCACTGAACAAGATGATTTTCAAACTTCTTTCTGTAAAAATAATTACTAAGCCATTGCCTTGAAGCTTCTGACTCTCAAAACCTGTTATTTTAATCTGTGTGTAATCATCTCATGATTTTTTTTTTTTTTAATAACTAAACTCACTTGACTGTACCTCTCTTGGCATACTTTTTCTTTTCTAGTACAGAAAACTGGTTATCTAGTTACTGTCCAGAAAATCTCAAACTGAACTTGGGAGCACTTGGGTTTCAGCTGATTTTTCTAGTATAAATCCATGCTCAGAAAGGCTGTACCATTTATGGTTTTATGATTACATTCAGAAAACAGGGGTGAAATCCTGGTTGCACTGAAGACGATGGAAATTGTGCCATCAAGTTCATTGAAAATTTTAGAATTTTTTTTCCATAAAAATACTCTGAAAACCTTTTTCAGAATACATATATATTCATAAAAATGTTTGGTGTGAGTCTCAAAAGTACTCAATATTTGACTTAATTCTATCCCTGCAGACCAGTCCGTTTGTTGCAAAGATGAATTGCTGAATGGTTTTGAAAACCCTGGTTCTCAATAGTTTAGTTCCCCTAAAGTATGATACCTTGCTGCTATACAGTGTTTTATTCTTAAATATAGCATCATTAAGTGTCATTTTGCAAATAAACGATCCAAACAAGGTGTTTGGTGTTCTGAAATGATGGATTTTTTACAAACAGTAAAACACACAAATGGAGTTTGTATCTATTATCATAGCTGCCTGCTAGTGGAGAAAACTTACTTTTTTAATCTGAGACTTGCTGTTAACTTTTCTAAATTAACTTGAGCACTTTAGGGGTTTTTTTTAACTGGGCTGAATGCAATCCTCTCTCCCCCCTCTCTTCCCCCCCTCCCGATAAATGTTAAAACAAGTTGTTTAAAGTTATATATCTTCTTTTTTCAGTATTAACACTGATCTGTTTGTGCGCTCTATTTCTTACTTGAGGTAGAATGCACAAATTATAAATGTGTTCTTGAAATCATCTCCAGACCTGCATAGCTTTTATCACTTGTACTAATCAAAAATAAATCCCAAACTGCACTTCGTAAGGATTATGTTATAGATTGAAACATATTGTTAATGTCCATAGCTTTAATGGTTTATAAAGCTAAATGTTGCAAACCACCCATACCTGTTAAAGATAAGGAAAAAACAACTTGTGATGACTTAACAAGGAAACTAATCTTCTAAGCTCTGGTATTAAATCATTTATTTTTGTGTTTTAATTATTGATTCTGCTATTATAGGGCTTATGCATTGGAAAAAGTAACAAGATAAATTCCTGTTACAATATATATTAGCAATAAAACATTTTTAAGTATTTATCTTCTGATTGCTTTTTCTAAATAATTTAAAATTAGGACTTATATTAGCTGTTAAGTGGGAACTTCCATATTCTGAGAAGAGGGGCAGAACTGTCTCCATTGGTGTGAGAAGAGTTTGCCTGAACAGTCAAAGCAAATAGAAAGTTGTTGCTTTTTTGTTGGAGTTCATTGTATATTCTGTGTAAATCTCTTCTTTTTTATTTTAATTACCATTTTCAAGATTGGAAGATAACGTTTTTTTTTCTGTATAAAAAGGCCTTGGCTGTAGGAGTTGCAGGGACTGCCTCCAAGATCAAGCACTGCTCTCAATACTGCAGGGTTCCAGGGCCTAGAAACTAGAATCCATGGAGACAAACAGCTGGCTGGTAGAGCAATAGAAGTAGGATCTGTCAAGGAAGTTGCTGCTTGGTAAAAGCAGCTAATCAAGGAAAATCCAGACAGGAAGACAGAAGTGAGCCTGTGTCTCTGCCCATGCATCTTACTTCTGTTGTGTAATGCTTAAATTAGTGGGGCTTTGTCCCATACAGGCCTATGAGTAACAGAAGCTGTGCTTCTCATCACTCCTATGCTTAAGAAGAGCATGTGAGTGATAGAAGAAAAAACAAGACTGAGAACAAAAATGCTTTGAGCACGTGCTTTGTATGAAAGCAGAATCACATGGGTTTAAATAATCTGAACTCTGGCTTGTACTGTATGATAGTGCCTATGGTTGGATCAATAATCATGTTATTCAATACAAATAAACCATGTTTCACTTGTGGGTGTACTTAAGAACCAACTCCATTTTTTCTATTCATCTGGGGGACTGTGCTCATGATTTTATAGGTGGAATTAGGCTTTCTGATCATGTGTTGGTCAGTCCTTACATAGAAATGATTGTAAGGATGCTCTCAGGGTATATACTCTTACTGTTTTATTCAAATCATAAGAATGGCCCAGATCCATAATGAATCTTGTGGACTATCCTCTAATAATTTGCTTTGTTTGTGTCTTTATCATTTTGTCTATCATGCTCAAAAAAAACATTTGCGCTCACTTTTCTGGACTTTTAGTGATTTGGTTTCAATTAGTTACGGTGTACTCTCAGTATCAGAGCGCGAATTGTCCCCTAACATCCTTATTTTAACTTTAATCCATAACACCTTTACCGAATGCAGAAAGAATAGCAAGAGTAAGGCTAAACAAATCAAATGAGCAAAGAGGACGTTGTAGAAGAGATGCAATGGAAAGGCAAAGGGCTCACAGAGACAATGAGTGAAGCAGAGAATAGACAGTCCAATGAATAAAGAATGGTAAGAGTAATACATAACTAAACAAATGAGCAAAGTGGACATCATAGAAGAGATGCAATGGAAAGGCAAAGGGTTTGCAGAGGCAATAGAAGACAGGCTGAAAGAGTAGACAGATTCACTGAAGACTAGATTGGGGAACATAGTTGTGGATTGAGGAACGTGGTGTGCCAGTTTTGTGCCTCTTTAAACTTTCACGCTGAAAGACCATCAAATGGTGAATTCTGGAGTTGTTGTCATAAGGGTAAAGTGATTCTGCCTATAAGAAGTGATTAAAGTGATTCTGCCTCCATTTCCAGAGTTTTTGCAGGATTTGATGACCAATCAGAACAACGAGCATTACCAGAACTTTAAAACACACATTTGATTGTATACCAGTGCATTGTCTGTTGAACAAAGATCATTGTGACAAGATGTATGATTCACAGACCGGGTGGAGGAATAAATTAAAATGCACTGTACATGGAAAATCATTAATATCTGAAGATATATCCAAAGGAGTTTAGAGAGGAGACACTTGGAAATGTTGATGGATACCCATTGTATAGAAGAAGACCAGGCAGAACAGCTCAAGTTGGTAATGACACAACGGATAACAGAAACATGGGACCCTATAGCAAATAACCTATTTTTGCCCATCCATTTTGACGGGCTTTTACGCTAGTGTTTTTAT